GGCTTTCAACTTCTTTCTTGGAATGGAAACTGATGGCCTTGTAGCTAATTACAAATGGCTATCATTTAGACATAAAAATAAATGTATCACCATAACTTCTTCATAACATGATAAACACATTTCACATACGTTAGACCTTTAAAAACATGAGAAAGCAAAGTGATGGCAAACCCATACTAAAAAGAACTTGGAAGTACCCTGACAGTTTTAGTATAAAAAACACTGATAAAGATAATGGCAAAATTCTTTCTGGAAAACACCAAGAGCAGATTCTCTTTCTATTGTGGTTTAAGCGTGGTAAAATGCAGCACGGACTGAACTTGACACCAGGGCTCCACATTCTACTGAACAACAAAGGGAATTTAATGGGATTTACTGTGATGCTTTTAAGGGTGCTGAAGAGCCAGCGCTGCTGCTTGCTCCATTCCTGGAGATGGGAACATGCTGCAGAGCTGGCAGCTGTGTTGGAGGCAACTGGCTTGAGAATTTAATAAATTGCATCGGGTGGGACTTTCTGAAAACTGCTGGAGGGATCTGGAAACACAAGTCTGAGATGTCCGGTCCTCATCTATTTTTAGGTGTTGATTTGCTGCCCTAACTCCTAGGGTTCGACCAGGGAAGACCAGCTCCATAAGCTTTTCCCAAGCCATACAAGGACTCTGCTTTCACTGAACCTACAAAGAAATAACACTTCTGCTGTCATAATTGTCTGCTTCTACTACATCATATTTAATACATAAAAAGGCTTCTTGTGGCAATTTAATAATTATGTTTCTTTTTTATTACTTGAAATCTTTGCAACTAAAACCATATTCATTTAAATGTGTTAAAACAATAACAACAAAACTTCCTTACTTTATTTCTTGAGCAGACAGCCAATGCGTCCAACTGGCAACCGCTTGTCCTTTTTAGGCAGCATATGAAAGAAGGGGATAGAGATGTAGTTAAAGACTGTGCAAGTAACAAATGTCTTCAATGGATTGGCATGCTCAGAGAGCGATCTACATCATCTTGGAAATATATCAAATGCCTCTAATTGTCCCAAAGCCATATTTCAGCCTGTTTATGGTGGCTTCGACACAGTGTCACAACACCCCTAAAACAAACAAAGTTCCATCAAGAAAACACTCTGTTATAACTCTCAGCAGAAATGTAAAGGCAAAGAAAAATGCTAAGACTGGGCTTGAAGAGCCACAAGTGTCTCTGCTGAAAAGAAAATGGAAATTCCAGATGAGGAACTGCATAACAAAAAAACAACTGAGTGATCCTAGGGTCAAAAGGGGATGGAAAAGATAAAATATTGGGTGTAGTGAGGGATTGTGCATAGAGGTCAGCCAAGGAGAGCTACAAAATGACTGGTCTGTATTGAGCTGGAACTCCCAGGCAAAGAGAAAAAGTAGAACTGAACAAATGACTTTTTTTTTTTTTTTTCCTAAAAAAGGGAAGAATTCCAAAAGTAACATTCTGGGTCCCTGAACATGAGCAGGATGCATTCTGCAAGAGGCAAACAAACAAACAGATGCAGATGATGGGATGAAAGCAAGGATGATCTACGATAACAGGACTACTTCAAGCACTTGAGCACAACTTGGAGCTTCCATGACTGCTGAGGTAGGTGCTCAGCCCTACCGAGGCAAATACAGTCTGAGGACTGGGAAGATGATGAATCAAGTTCTTCGAGCACCTGTAACTTTGCAGGAAAAGAGATTACCAAGGAAATTGGAAAGTCAACAGAGGCAAGAAGACAATAGCTTAAGGTCTCAGAGAAGATTGAAAATCCTATAATTTCATCTGCAGAAGATAACCATTTTCAACCAAGAACTATGCCATTCTAAAGGACAAAAATAGAGGGCCACAAAGGAAAGGATGTGCAATATTGTGTATCTGGTAATGACAGAAACTGGAAAAGAAAACAGATGAATAATACAGCTTGGTCTTCCTGGAAGATGTGTCACTGACCTCAGTATAAAGGAGAACCGGCTAAAATGAAACCTCCTTGCTAAATACAGGTCAGCCTACATGACCTCATGTTCAACATGAGACAATAACTGGAATTTTGAGCTAGGGAAAGCCAAATTAAATAACACAGTTTAAAATTATAGTGAGGGTTATTTTGCATTTAAACAAACTACCAAAGGAAACAGAAAAAATAAAAATTAAAATTAAAATTAAAAAAAAAAACCACTTGACATTTTGATATATAGAAATCTTTCTGAAATATTTACTTAAGCAAAAACAAGATATCAGGTTTAATGAAGAAGTATATGACACTTAAAGACTTTACAAAGTAGTCAGACAAAATGATGTAATATTACTCTCCTCTCTTCCCTTAAAACCAATGACTGTTCTCCCTCCCTTTTTTTTCTCTCTTTTTTTTCTTTTTCCTCTCCAATCTACAAAAGGTAGAAAAGTTAGAGTGAACTGAATGACTAAAGGAAACACTGGCAGTACTGCCTTACTTCAGGCAGAACAAGTGACATTATCAAAGTGTCCACTGAAATCAAACAAGGGAAGAAAGCTCTTTGGTCTGACGCAAGGAGCAAGTGGGTAACAGCCAGATAACAGCAGTCCCACTCATTGGAAAGCCAGCCTTCATCTTCTGAGGTGGGAGGCTGCACAAGAAAATAATAGAGGATTTTTCTCTAAAAAATAAATACCAAATTAAAGTAGACTGAAGGAAAAAACCTTGAGGCCTGTTATAAAGGAAGTCGAAGTGTTTTACCCTGAATGGAAAAAGCCTTTACTTGATATGACCTTTAAATGATATTCTCACATTTTGGATGAAAAAACAGTTAATTAATAAAAAACGAGCAAACAACAAACTGAAGGAACTTCAGGACTGACTCTAATTAGAGATCTTTCCCAGAGCCTCCCTGCTGATAGACACCTTTTCCTAATCCCCATTTATGCCTGTCTGTTCATGTCAGCATTTCTTAAGCATTTCTTCTTCCTCCTCAGCATCAACTTACTATTTATAATTTTTTTTTTCCCCAAGTCAGCCTTTGCTTTAAGCTAAAAGCCAAGTTACTCCCGTTCCTCTCACCCAACAAGCCCCCCAGACCAGTCATTTTGAGTCTGTCTTTGCTGTTACTTCAGCTACAGCTAATCCTTTGGAAGATGCGTGAGCAAAACTACGTATCAAATGCTCCAGGTCCTGTGCAGCATCACTGATTCATTCCTATCCCTACCAAAAATACTTGGTCTGACACGTCTTGTGATCCCACTGCTTTTTTTTCCACAGCTGCCCCACGGTGGCAATGAATCAGTCCTACCATGGGCAATCGCTTCTGACTCCTGACAAATCTTTGCTTTTACTTAGAGCTACGTGACCCTGTGTTTGCACAACTGGTAACCATCCTTTGCTACCAGCCCGTTCCTCGATACCATCCAGCTCTTGTGCAGCCTCCAGAGCCTCCTCTGTACCTCCTTGAGCCATCAGCACTTCCAGTCTGCTCGGCCTACTTCTTAGCCAACATCCTTAATTCAGGTAACAATAACAAAAACCAGAACCTGTCTGATTACTTCCCCTGTCACCAGTCCCAGGTCACTTGGCATTGCCACTTGGTATTTCCCCGCTACCTTCTGCACGAACTTTATTTAGCACATACTTTAGCAGATGGAGGAAATGGAATCACATTTCCACAAACCAGCAAAATCAGTTGTAAAAGACGTTAAGGTTAGTCCGGAAAAACAACCTTTGTTTATTACGGTACACTTTTCCAATTAGTCATTTACTCCAAACCTTTTATATTTTGAAATCCGGTATTTGCCCTAAAGCATTTCAGGTAGTAACCCAGAAGTCAGTACACGTGGGTCATGTCATTGCCTGGATGACTTCTCTCTTCTGCTCCAACAGAAGAAGGAAACTGGATTACTCTGCAGCACTAAAACTGACCAATATATCTCAAGTCCCAGCATAAAAGCAATGATCATGCATCACCACAGTGGCAAATCCCTATTATACCCATCAGTGCGGGATTTCAGGCTCAAATCCTGAATAAAAGCTTTGCCTGAGCAAGCACGGATGATGGCCTGAACACGTGCAAGGACAGCAAGCTTCAGAGCTACTTGCTGTAAATACAGGTGTCTTCATCTTTTTTCCATTTATTGATTCACTGGAAACAAAGCTTACTTACATTCGCTGTGTCAAAACTGGTGCATGAGAAGGAAAAAAAAACCTCTTGGTTTTTCTCTAGAAATCTGCTTCCTTTGCTAGCAAGACTGTCAGCAATTCTCAGCAGCCAGATGTTAAATGTTTGTTTTACAAATGTTAAAGGAGCTTCTTCAGCCCTACAAGGAATCATCTTAAAACGTGAATTACCAGTGAAATATGAAAATCCACTTCAAGTGCAGGAGATTGCATTTGATTTTTTTTTCACCAATGTTTTGGCCACAAAGCCAACTAGAAGCCTCTCTGCTGGGATAACCTGCAGCTTACAGCTGTTTTCTGATATGTTTCTGGAATGATTTTGCTATCAAATAAATCATACTAGAGGACGTTTTTGTCTGTAGAAGGAAAAAACCTTCCACTCCTCCATGGAGACAAAATTTTGCTTTATGTATTCCTTGGGAACAGACACACAATTATCAGCCTTCCTTGGTTTGCAGCCTCCTGGCATTTTTCTAACAGAAGTGGAGGTGGGAATGGGAGACAGGAACTTTCCATGGATCCCATAAGAATTATTCAACAACACCCAGAGGCAGGCAGTTACTAGTTCAGATTAATGGTGAGCACACAGGTAAGAGACAACCTACCAGGTTTACCTCCAGGTTGACCTCCCCATTCTCTATCTCCTTCATGCAGCAGCAAAACTTGCTTGTTATACTGTGCAGGGATGAAAGGACATCCTCAAAGGAGTGCAGTAATGCCAGAACAGCTTCCAGCTGAAAACCTACCATAAGAACACTTCTGCCTGTGAAACAATACAGCAAATCCAACCACGTCCTGCTGCACGCTTCCACCATCACAAAAGCAAATAAAACAATGGACACTTCTCATGTTGGACTTCGGCAAAAGACGTTTATTATTATTATTATTGTCGTGTTGCTGTTGTACCTGCTCTGCTCTGCCCACAGTGGTAGCATAAATGCTGTTACCATATTGTAGCTGACGATGCCGGTGTACAAATCAAAATCCATCTTAATTTCAAACTCCATTAGAAACACAGGAAAAAAAGATCAACATTTACGAAATGTAAAGGGAAAAATGGTATGGAAAGAATTTTTTTTTTATTATTTTTCAAGCTTCCAAGACGGTATTACAAACAACAGAGAGCAAAGTAAAGCTAGAAATGAAATACTTGACAGCATCTGTTTAAAAATTACAGCTAAGAAACCTAATAAAAGTTGAATAAACAGTTACTAGAAATAAAAATTTTTACACATATGATATTTGTCTGGGATTTTTATTTCTTTAAAATAATTCATACAAATGGTTACAGTCACAAACATGATTTTAACCAAAAATATTGCTAGCCTACCACATTACCAGGAAGGAATCAATGTAGGCAATGAAATGCTGCTACTTTTCAGTAGTCTAGTGCCTTTTTCGCATACCACCAATAATATATACTTTAACTGGTGACAAAAAGCACAATGCTCGTTTATACAAAACCTTTTTTTTCCTCAAAATCTCTTTGCAAGGTTGTCTTCATTTTGAAATAAGGGAATTCATGCCAAAATTAGGAGAAACGGTCTTTCTTTTGTTTACTAAATTATTCTAAAAAATAAGACAAGCAGGTAGAAAAAACAATGCACTGTGTGGCGTAGAAAGAAAAATGGGAAAAATTCATTGTCCTGAGAAGTTTGCCAACTGCCTCATTTTTGGGCATGTTTTAAAATATAAAAGAAAAGATTTTTAATCTCAAAATTGGTTTGTTGAATGCCTCCCTTATGTTTTTCCTTGTTGACAGCTAAGCAAACAAACCCTTTTTAATGTTCTAAAAACTGTACACAGACAAGTACATTCATGATATAATTAACTACTAACTTCTCTTGCTTAACAAAGAACCCATAGGACACAGAAACAGTGAATCAGTCCACTGGACAGGGACAAACTACAATTTATACGGAGGAAAAAATGCTTCCAAATCTTCTTTTTGTCTCCCACCTTTTCCTTTTATACTGTATATTGGACCAGTTTCTAAAACAATAATCGTCTCCTCCTGTAAGTTCATGGTTTTGCCTTTAATCAAAATCCAGGGTTTTGTGTTTGGTTGTTTTTTTTTTTTCCACACGCTGAAGTTGAAATCTCTGATGTTGGGAATGCTGTTTTCGTAGGCTACAATTGGTCGCTCGGGTGGTCTCTATCAGCTTCTGGTTTGACAGTTTGGCCGGGGGAAGGAGCATGGGGCGGGTGGGCTACAGCAGGGAGGCCGTGTGATAAAGACATGGGGTTGGGGACTATTCCTTCTACTGCCGTAGGTATGCCAGTTGGAGCCACGCTTACAACACCTGGGGGATACCTGCTGAGAGAAGAAGAGGAGAACACATGTTAAAACCCAGAGATGGCTGACAGGAAAGCCCACCTTGCCTCCTCCCAAAGGTACAGAGATGTTTATTTTATTTTCAGCCCAGTGAGACATACAGTTGGTTAAGCTCACGATGATACACCATATGTGGATGCTGTCAAATAAAGCAAAACATGCTGTGTTTCGCCCAAATGAGAAATAAAGACTTGCTAGGATTTGCTTTGGTTTGGTTTTTTTTGTTTTGTTTTGTTTTTTTCCAGTTTGAGATTTAATAGCAAGATTGACAGCATGGCAATGGAAACAACTGCTCGTCTCAAAGCAACTTGGGCTAGGTCTGCACGATATGTATGTCCTCTGGGACTGTTCCACAAGTTGACCTTTCGAATTTTTTTTTAAATTTTGACATTTCACTGTTGTGGTTTGAAAACTATTTCTTTAGACTAATCTTGCAATCAGAGCTTTCTGACAGCCCCCTAAAAGAGGGATTACACTCACACTCTTAAGAGGACAAATTCACACCTATTACACCCAAGAATTATTATTTTTTTAAGCTCCAAACTTGCCACAGTAGTTGTCTGAAAGAGAACCAGTGCTAGTTATATAAAGAGCAAATTGCTTTAGGCAGACTGCAAGAAAGAGAGATGCAAACACAGAACAGTGTGGAAGGTTTTCAACATTTCTTACTCTTTCTGGATGAACACCACAGTCCCTTTATAAATTTAATTTTAGGAATTTTAGCAATTTAATAAACAAAACACCCTCTGATTTAGCTTGATTTTATGATGGCTCTGATACTATCAAGCTAAAAGAAAAATCTTTCCAATCTACTGTTTCAGTCCCCATGTTCAAATGGAATTGATAAACACTTGTATCTCATGGTGCCTATACACAAAAAGAACAGCTATAAACAAGTGACTTTTACAAAAATGTTTTCTCTTTAGCCAAGTACCTTGATCCCAGCTTGCTGGCCCACGCTGGCCACTTACACCGCCCCTTTGGTCCCATTCCCCCTCATTCCATCAAACATCTGCACTTACCCCTTCTTCTCTTCTGCTGTGTTCTGCTTACTCAAGCTCCCTAGTGAGAGTGCTACCCGTACTGAAAGCCTGAACACACAATCCTGCCACTTATTCATTGTGGCATTTGTTGGCCTAGTGTTTATTTAAAATTAAATGGAAGAAAAAGCACATGTAACCTAGGCAAGCTTTTTCAAATACCATGTTGTTCTGCAGGTGATCTTCCTCTCCTCTGAGTTCTGTACTGAATCCCTCGGGGAATTTCACCCCATTTCAGTAACATCTTTCCTGAAGTAATGCATGTTTGTACTGCTCACCCCGAGTTCCCTCAAACCGATAGAAAATGAGCGCAGAACTTACATAGAACAGCCAGGAAACTCTGAGGAAAAGCAGGATGAAAGCCCATTTATTTGTTCTTTTTTCCACCACCGAAACATCACGGGACCTGCTTTTTGCAGACTGTGCCAGAGGGGCTCAGCGTGGCTATATGATGGCACAGTGACAATGAGGACACTGCAGGCCACTCACCCTGGGAAAGATTCCTACAGACCCTAGTGCTGGCTGTTACCTGGGATGGATAACCAGGATGTGAAGGACCACACCACCTGTAGGCTGGAGAACTTTGTTCCCACTTGTACACGTATTTGCAGGGCTTCCTGTGCTAATTCCTTCTCCAGAGAGGTTTCTTAGAATTAATTTGCAGTTGCTAATGGAATTAGTTGCTTGTTTCAGTACTTCAATTTGAATCTTATTAATCAAATTTGCTCCAATTCCTATGAAAACTGTCCGACTGGGTATTGTTTTATTTATTCAAATTTAATTTTCAAACAGCTTATCTGTTACTTTAGGTGCTTTGTAAAAATCACAACAAGAAATGACAAGAATTCCTGTTTATAAGCCCAACACAGCAACCATTTCCAACACAGACCCTCCCTTTTTCAAAGTCATATTCCCTGAGCATACACACGCAGAACAGGGACAGATCAGGGCAAATTCTCCAACGGTGTTTCCCTCAGGAAGAAAAGTCAGAGCTTCCCCTCCTGGAAGTGGACAGGACTAGATGAGAAGCACTAGCAGTTATCTTACGGGCACGGTAAGCAGTCCAGACCACACATCTGTTATTCTGCACTTCAGATAGTCTTTCTGTACATAAAAATGATCCCCATGGACACTGTGTTGTAACAACTGGGATTCTACCTGCCAGCACCTCTCCTCAGAAGCAAGCTTGCACTTCATAGAGTTGCTCCTAATCCTCCTCCTCTGGCAGCAGTAAGTCAAAACGTTTTCCAGGTAAAATATACACTGAGTTAAATTTTTGCAAAAGCAGGAGAGGTCAGTTACATCTCATCTGCTACTTCGTACTCTTCCTTCCCCTTTCCCATGCGGTCTTTATGCAGAAAATTACAATAGTCCTCTTAATTGGAACAAAAATACAACTTTAATTTCCATGTTAATCTCCTGATTTTTTTTTATATTACAGAAGCACCTTTCACTACATCAAGCACTGTAAAAAAAAGATGAATCTGTCCCAAAAGCACTTAAAATTCAAGTGCCCAGGGCCAGGCTGAGAGGCGCTGGGCACAACCTGGAGCCCAGGAGCTCCCTCTGAGCACCAGGCAGCCCTGCTGGGCTGGGCAGGGATGGAGCCTGGCAGGGGCTGCCCAGAGCCTGGGGGGCTCCTCCTGGGGGACTCCAGGAGCTTCCTGGACCTGGGGCTGTGCCCCCAGGTCAGGGTGACCCTGCTGGGGCAGGGCTCGGAGCAGAAGGCCCCAGAGGTCCCTGGCAGCCTCAGGCACTCTGCGGTTCTGTTAAGCACTACTGTATGTTACATTACATGCAGAGTCTGAAAATAACCAGTGAAATACCTCGGTGTGAAAAAACTCCTGGATGGTTACCATTATCTAACTACTCTCATCCAAGTACCTCTTAAGGACTGGGATATTCTCATCTCCTACCTGTTAGAAAGCAGAAAGATATGTCAAGATGTCTATAAATTGTACAACTACTGTTTACTGGCTGTGGTATTTCATTTCTCCTATAACCTGCTCTCTCTGTGACACAGAAAATGGCAGGGTATTATTTAGCAGGCAGCTCAGTAGCAAATTCACAGTAATAACACAAAAGCAGGGTATATTATGCTGCTTCACCAAGACTATTACAAATATTTCCTTCTCGGGAATATTGTTAATCTGCACTGATGGGATAGGTCCTGTGAGCCTAACCCTTTGTGTTGATGGGGTGTCTTGCCTTTTGCCTAGCAAATGGTTTTGTTTTCCACAAAAAACGAAGATATTCAGAATATCTAGATTATATTCTGCTGATGAATGCTCAATGTTCTTTGCTAGCGATAATATCTGGTAATTTAAGAGCGCTCTCCTTTATCAAAATTCAAGTAAATGATATATCCCAAATTAAATAGCCTTGTTAGTTTTAGTTCACTGAAAGAGCTATTTGCATTTTTTAACATATCAATTATTATCCCAGGTCTTATCTTCTAATGCAATTACATGACTGTGATACAGTTATTAGCACATCTGAATCACACTGCCTGTGAAAGCCTCCACAACTCAGCTAGTTGAGCATAATCTTGCATTGCAAAGGGAAGACAGGAAAATTTGTTTCAAACAACCAGTTCAAATTCTGTATTTAATACAGCTAGGAATTAAGCACCAGCAAACACTGCTACTGAAACCTATCTCTTCATAAAGCTTGAGCTTCAAGTTCCATGTATTTCATACTGCACAAATAACAACTGCTTTAGCCCACATTCAAAGACCACTCTATCAGCCCTCCAAAAAGAAGCTTTTAGTGTTTCTTGTATTACTCTTATGTTTCCCTCAAAATTGCCAAAGTGAGTTCTCTTTTGGATTTGAAAACAAATGTGAATTCGTATTTAACTTCTGATTTATTTTATTCTTGGAAAAAACTGACCGAAACAATGTCTACAAAAGGCATTTATTTCTGTTCTTATCCTGCTTAAATTAAATACATATGGTCTTTACCTTGTAAATTGTGAACTCCCCAGATGTTCCTAAGTTAAAAATCCATTTCTAACTGTGAAGCCTGCCTCTGCTGGGCTTGTGACTCCCCTCAGAAGGGAACAAGCAACTGCATTTTATTTGGGCACACAACCCTGCGCTCAACTGCCACGACATAGTTGGAGTTATTACCCCCAGTTCAGGAACACCTGCCAATATCCTCAGCTGCATTCAGATATGCCCTGAGTAGTTCAAATTGAAGTCACTGAAACTAAATGCTGTGTGGAAGAGAATACGTACACTTGAACTTTTCACTTCAGCAAATAAAAATAGCCTTCTTCAGATATTTAGGGCTACGGGTGCTTTTCTCAAAAAGAAGTATCTTGACGTGCACTGAGGTATGTATATGTTGATCAAATCAAGGTTATTTTTTTCCTTCGGTGAGCTTACAGCTACTGCTGAGGAGATTAAGGCAGAGGGTGGTGATGCTCCCTCTGTCATCTCTCCATCACTTTCTGAAGAGATTGCTAGAACTCCTTGGGACTTAAGAGCTTTGCCACACTTCTTAGCACTGCATGGTTGGGTTCTCATACAGCGTTAACACAAAAAGAATTCCTACACCCAATAAAACTAAGGATAGTCCTCCTGAAGAAGGACAATGATAAGAAAGATGTATGAAGAGTAAGAGCAGACAGATTAGAAGAAAGAGGTTAAAAAAAAAAAGTACTGAACTGCCCCTTCCCCTCAAGTCAATGTCTTTCAGCAGCTGTTTGTAGTTTTCTCAGTCACCTTCATCCTACTTATGAGTAAATACCATACTTGAAGACAAAAAAATTGCAGAGTTTTTTATTAATAAAAATTGCGTGAAGCTCAGTACTAGGAAAATGTGCTGCTAGGACAGCTGCTAGGGCTAAAGGAATAGAGAAAGACTACCAAGCAAAGTAAACTAAGGAACATACATACTCAATGTGGAAAAAATTACCCCTTCCTACTAATTATTAAAAGCTGCTTTCACAGTTGATTGAGAATGCATCGATTAAAACCCTCAAATGCTTGTAAAGAACATCTCAAAAATAAAATGCAAAATTTAGAAAACACTACTTGAAACATATTTTCATAAACACCACAGGCTATTCCACTGTATACATTAACTGAATTATTTGTTCCCTCGTGTCTGGAGGCCACAAACACACAGAAATACTTTATTATTGAAAGTCTTTCTTTAACCTACCACTTTATCGTTACCCTCAGAAAAAAAGAACAAAAACTTCCACTGCACTCACTTGAGATGACCAGAATTGTTTCAGTGGAACATATAGAAGACCGTATATTGTTCAGATATTACTAACCACAAAAAAAAAAAAAAAAAGATAAGAAAAGGAAACATACTTATGCACTGCATGACTGATTTCAGTAACTAGCAAAACAAGATTATCTTCCTGAATGCAACAATTATGAAAACAATACAGTTGAAGCCTGATCCAAAGACACTTCATTTATTAATAGGAAAGTCATTTCTTTATTCCAGAATACTTACCTTTGAATTAGGCAAGTATTTCTTTTACACCTGCAGCGTGCTTACCTGTATGCAGCACCATTAAGCTCTGGATGAACAACTCCGGGATCCATGCTGGCCCAATGTGTAGCTGCAGTCAAGTGATCTTTGTTAACACAGTTTTTCAGACTGTCTGGAATACGACCTAGGATGAAGCAAGGGAAAACAAACAAACAAAAATTACATTTAAATCATGTTATATACTCTCAATTTATCCAGATTAAAAACAGAGTTACAAACATTTGTGTATTTAAAATACATAAAAACACATTAAGAGATCATTTTTGATCCTCACTGCTCTCCTTTTGCCTGGGACTTAGTTGTTAATGTGCTTTTTATTTCCCTCTCTCTCTTTAATATATCCTGTTCTTTATATACATGGTCTCAATAAAACAATAACCACTAAGATTCATACTTCCCAAGAACCTAAAATTTGAATATACAGCATGGCTGTATATATATTATAATACAATTTTATTATTACATGCAATATACAGATACAATCCAGATTTTCTTCATTGCAACAGGAGTACTTCCACCTATTTCAACAGACGATCATTTGGAGCCTGTGTTTTTTTCTGACATCTGTTTTAATGTATCCCTTCTGAAGTATAATCTTGCTGTGGATTTGCGCACACAGAGGCAGAAAGAGTAAAGCTGAAGACAACCACTGCTTCTGCAAGAGTACTCAAGGAATACTATCACGACTTAACCATGCTCCACCATTTAAGAATTCTTTTTTTTTGGTCAAAGACTTACTACTCTTTGCTTGCTCTTTCTATCCATCAGCCTGGCCATGATGGGGCTGCAAAAAAAGACCTTTCACAGAATTTAGTTTATCTAGCGAACACTATCAAATAGTTCTGCCTCCATGACCTGCACTTATACTACTAAAACTTCCCGTATCTCCCATGCACAACCCAAAAGGGCTTCTTAGTCCAGTACTAGACAAGGTAAGGTAAATGTCCCATTACGAGTGTATTTCTACCATTTCCCTGATTAGAAATCATTTTCTAATGTTAGCTGAAATATATAACCACCTTATCTTCTACCAAAATTACCCATAAATTTAAGCAGTATCTTTTTCTGATGTTTACCCTTCTCAGGAATTTCTTGGCTGCGGCCATCTCATCCTCCCCATCCCTCTCAGCCTTTATTTGCTGTAAGGCATGCTCTACTAGTCTCCCCTTGCAAAATATTATTTATTTTAATCTTATGTTGTAACAGTATTTTCACTTGCCATGCTTGCCCTCTTATTTCTTCCATTATTGTTTTCAGCAATCCTCCTTATTTACTATTTTCATATTCAAGGATATTGGACCTTTGCTTATTGTTTTTACTTTATACAGCAGCACATCATTGACTTTTTTGGAACAGCAGAACAAGTTAGCATTTTTGTCTTCAGCATGCATTGATTTATTGTACACCTTTTTCCAATTAGTTTCTCTCTCAACACCCTTTCTCCTCTTTGTTCCCCTGTGGCGTTCACATATTCAGCTTCATCCCACACTTCCTGTACCTTTCCTACATTTGTTTCACTGCAATTCATTGTCTTTCTCACCTCCCTAATGTTGGCCTTAGTTTGATCCTGCTACAAGCCATGTGCAAACACTGAAGCGATGACAGCTTCAATACAAATCAATGATTTAGATCGCTGATAGCACAATCTCAGACTTTAAGAAAATACAGGCCTGTCTTCCCAGGAACATACATTTGGGCTATTGCACAATATTTAACCTAAAACTAGCTCTGTATAGCTGGCTCCTGTTTTCAGATCTTAGCCCATTAATGCTTATTTGCACATCAATCATCCCCCACTGTAGCTATGGTATGCTGGTTTGTGCAATCTCTCCCAGAGCTATTTGGACACTTGTAATAGTTATACAACAGCTTCATGAATGTACTGTTCGAGTTCTTCTGGAGGATAGGCACAAAGACTAATTCCAGGAAAAGGATGGTCAGCCTCTTCAGGTTACCTCTCAAATAAAGAGAAATAAGCCTGCAAAGAGCAATTCGGATCAGGAGCTTTAGAGGTGCCCTTGATCACCATCCAGAGAATCCTCTTCTTTCTGCCCAGGCTATAAATGAAACCGAATTGTCTAGCCTCTCTCTAGGCATAAGATCCAGGACAAGCTACTGCTAGTGCTTTTTGTACAGCAGAGCAATGTGTTGGCACTGCACCACTCTCAAGGTGACACAGACAGCCCTTCACGTCTGTAGAGCATTCAGCCTATATTGCCAAGGGGAAAACAGCAAAGTCCTACTAAAGAGAGAACATTAGTGCTTAATGAATCATTTTCCAGCATGAAAATACTCCCTTTTATTTTAGGCTAACAAGGGATTCAAACCAAAGCCAAATGGCTCACTCTTCTCATTTTATTTATTAGCAGTGCATGTTCAAGACATAACTGTTTTTTTCTTATGTGAACAGTTTACAATTACATGGTAGTTATACAACAAACAGATTTTGTCCTTTAAAATGCCAGCCCTCCTTAGCAATGCTTTTAAAAAAAGGAACATCTAAAAAAAAAAGAGTACCTACCAACAAATACTGAAAACTTTGTTTTGATATTAAGACTGAATTGTGATACAATTGTGATACATGCTTGGAGCAGCATGGAACTCTACATGCTTTATCTTAAAGAATTACAACCTTAAAGACACTGAAATTCCAGACTGTCCTCTAAGACAAATTTAGATGAAATTTGGAAAATACAGAGAAAAGAATAATGGAAAAGAAACTGCTCATGACAGGTTTGAGGGGATATCTATGAAAACCTATGGAAGATGCCAGTAATATCTGGTTGACTTGCAGTAAAATCCATCACATGGCTAGTATTTACAGGCAACAAAAATAAAAAGGGGGTTTTTCACAGTTAAGCACATTTCTGTTATACGGAAAAAAATACTTCTTCTGCACTTCCTGCCTTTTCTTTGTAATTGTAATAAATCATCCAAATTTATCTGTTCCAGTGCTGACAACAAACCTTGTATTTGCTGGTTTCTATGTCCCAAATACTAAAAGCATAAACAAAACCCGAGTATGGTTCTTTTCAGCATCTTTCATGACTAAAGAATGAAAACGTCTGTTAAGACAACATACACAGTAAAGGAGATAATGAGGTTAGTTAGTACCTGTGATCGCCCTCCGGATCTCTCGTGCTGCTTCCTCCCGCATCTCAATTGAGGCTTGTTCACTATACCACGCTGCATGTGGGGTACAGATCAGGTTTGGTGCATCCTTCAAGGGGCCCTGACTAAAGCTAAATGAAAATTTAAAACAAGATCAAATGACAAAAAAATATTCGGGGTGTAGGGGAATTAAAGGGGTGCAGGGGGAAATCCAGAGGGATTTGTATATACATTCAGGTTAATTTCTACAGCAGAAAAGAACTGCATTTGTATTCCTTGTTGGGTTTACTTTAAATTCCATCAATTAATTTAATACACTATTCATAGTATAAATAAAGAGCAATCACCTTGCATTGACTTAAAGGGTAGAACCTAGGTAAAGTAGCACTAGCAGCAATATCAGCTTCTGTCCAATGCGCTTATTGCTAACTACAGCCACTGCCATTCCAGTACTCGTGCAGAAATGCATGAAGCAAGACCCAAATCAATTCAGGATGCCACTCTGTTTGTCCATCCATCAGTTTTACTTTTATTGCACTAACTTTGCTACCTCAAAGGTCTGACACTTAGTCATTAAAAAATACATCTAACAATTATTTGCATGTTTATACAAGCTTATCAATCAGCATCCTCAACTTCTTGATAATTCATTTATTTGTTCTGTTATTTTAAACTATTTTTTCTTTCCTGTTCTGTATAGAAACTCCGAAGAAAGAAGGAAATTTACATGATGGATTGATTTCCAGGGAAAGCAATGAATAAGGTGCTATCACAAAATCAGAATAAAAAAACTGAAAATAGCGGAAACTTGTTCCTCCTACCTATTTTCAGTTTTAATAATTTTACAGTCAGCTGCAACAACTGTAGAACAAGTATTTTAAGACAAAAGTGTATATTCAAAGTTGGTAGGAATTCATAAAATTATAGATTACATTCGGAGTTTAATAAACATCAGAATATTTGGCAAAACTCTTGAATAAAGAGGTGCATGCTGCGCTCAGATAGACATGCAGCACTGAAGCCAAAGGAAATTGTGGCTGTAATCCTGCAACTGAATCTCTGCAGATGGCATCTCCATGCAGTAAATGGGGCTTCCTACAGGTGCAAAGGTCTGCTTGTGCAGATCTGAGATCTGAATTGTGAAGAATGTATATCTCAGAAAGGCTCTTGAGCTGTTAGACTCCAGCTTTGCACAGCACTACTGCATTGTAATGACCACATTTAGAAGTACATGAATGCAGGGTATGCATAAATAAAATTAAATATTTGTGATGTGGCATTGTGTCTCAGCAGATAACAAAATTCTATCTATAAGGACACTGTTGCTATTTTTGTTAGTGTTCTATTCTCTTGCAAGCTGATTCAAGAGAGACTGTCCTCTCTCCAGTCTTCACAACCTGCCCTCGGGTCTTGAATCTGTTCCTCTTCAAAAACCTACATGGATGGTTTCTGTTAAAATTAACATTTCTCCCTGCTCAGACTGAGCATCCGAAAAAGGCTTGCCACATACAAGCACTATAAGCTAGTGTGGTCTATTCTCATAATTCAGAAGTCAGGCTCAAAATTCGAGGACATATAAACAAGGCTCGTTGCTGTTTAGCAGTGCTGGCAACAGAATACCAATGCCACTTTGGGAGTGGTACACTTCTGCCCAAAACACTGGACATGCTCAGTGTCATTCAGAAAAGTAAGGCCAGTGCTACCAGCTCTGCTAATGACAGCAGTTACTGCTCTCCTGACAAAGAGAAAGGGTAAAAGAAAACCAGGCCTGAACTCTCACCACCTTTCTTTACTTTTTTTTTTTTTTTTTTTTTTTTGCAACCTGGTATGTTTATGGCCTTCCTGAAGAGGGAATCTGGACAGAAATTATGCTTTTTCCTCCAGAAAGGTGTCATAAAGTACTTGCTTCTCACACCAAAGCTCAACCCTTTGCCTTCTAAAAGCCTGTTCAGATATCATCATTAGTTACCTCTGGAGTTTCATCAACAACAAAAGAACACTTCCTCTCAAAGCCAGGACACAATTCTGTGCCCAGCACTAGAACTTGTGTCCCTGATACTTCTACTGAATAAACCCATTGCATTTTTATTTTATTTTAAAAAAGGCATTAATCTTGGGTGTCATTTTTTCACTTCTGACAATATACACAAGCTCCATCTACTTTTGCATTAGTCCAGTGCTGCACAGATTCATGTTGCTTTACTAAGGAGTATTTAGCTACCAAATGAAGGGAAAACTCATTTACTTGTTGCTGTTGATCGTATCATGCACTACGACTTAAAAATAAGAAAGTGAACAAAATAAAAAGAAAAGAAAAGGAAAAGCACCTGAATGGTTCTGACTCATGTACATCTAAGGCTGCCCCTCGTATCCTTCCTTCCTTCAGGGCCTGTGCAAGTGCTTTTTCGTCTACTAACCCACCTCGAGCTGTGTTGACCAGGAAAGCCCCTTGTCTCATCTAGGGAAAGTTAAAAAACAAGAATGATGAAATAAAAATAAATGAAATAAAATCGTTGTGGCATTATTTTTTTTTACTCAAAAGAAGCATCCAATACAACAAAGGCTATTCAGCTGATTTAACCTGTAACAGTTGTCTTCCCTTTCCATTGGAAAGTACCACACAATGTGATGCTTCTAACATAAAATGCTATTTCACAGCATTTAATAACCTTGTTTCTTTTAAGTAGTGTCTTTTTATAGAAGCGTTGTTTCATATATTGTGCAGTAACATGATCAAAAGATACAACTGTGCATATGAAACGGACAGATCATTTTATGCCTTTTTATTCCACTGTGAAATTGCATGAGACAGAAACTACAGAACATTCTTAAACAAATTCATATTTTGTGGTTTTAAACTTTCACACAAATAAAAGCCTGTATGAATTTTTCAGAAAAATCAACGCTTTTAGATTTTCAAACACTTTTCCCTTTAGTTGCCAAAACACAGTAGACCTATGTTTTATTTATTGTTGTGACTTCAGCTTCCTCCTCCCCATAAGACTTTTGAAATAAAGGTCTAAAGGATTCTTACGTTATACAGTTAAAAGGCATGAAAATGAATTTGGTTGAGAATGCTGTGTGCCCAGGAGAGAAGCTGTGTTGTGCATTGTGCAGATTAGCATTGTAGATGACACTGTGTGGGGAGAACTACAAGAATTTATACCACAATATATCCACAACATGAAAACAAAGTGGAAGTTTAAATAAGAGAGATGGTACAGAAAAAAAAGAAATCCTACATCTTGCTTCCAGCCACCCTAATGCTTCATCTTTTAGCAGTCATCTCATACACAGCTTCTGATCTCAGAAACATTTAAATATACGAAGGTAAGCGTATGAAGAGCAGGAACCATGATGAAGGTGAATGATAAAAATCCCATTTTTGAACTGACTCCATCTCTCACCGTAAGAAGAAAACTCCAACATTTTGACACCACATCAACTACTTAAAGCCTACACAGCAAACTGAAGCTTATGTAAATGGCTCCTTTCTCCGAAAGGGATTCAAAATGCCAAATTCATGAACAACAAGGAGGCTTGGATGAAAGTCAGCTACAAGAATTTTTTTTACATGAGCTCATTGGATATATTAAACAATTAACATGCATGTGCTTGCAGTGAAGTTTGAAGAAAAAAAAGAAAACATATTTTACTGGCCAACTCACTAGCTTTCATCTGTCCCTGCCTCTCCCCATTTGCAGAGACTTGGGCTTACAGGAGAACATTTATTGGTCTGTATAGCAAAACCAAAGTCCATTTACAGTGGAATTAAGGGATACTTCAGTTTTATGCAATCAACTTGGGAATTTGAGCTGTGAGGAAATGGTGGCATGACCTTAAGTTGGTCTTGCAACAATAAGGCGTTCCTGATGGAGCCATCACTGCATCTCCACTCAGTAAGAAAGCTGTGAGAACTAGATTAAATCTAGCACAGGAGGGCTCACCCAAGTAGCAATCACACCTGCTACACAGACATGGCACGTAGGCTTGTGGGAGCTTGTACTGACTTCCTATTTCTGTGTTCTTGGAAATGGAAGGGTGATTTTGAGGTTTAAGTATAGCCTAGTGCATTCATACGTGCTTTGAAGAACTTGAAAATTTTCATCAGTGAGCCCTGTTAAAATCTTCTGTCCATCCATAAGAACCTTAAGTTTTCGGGATTATTTACAAAACTCTAAAGCTAGTACTAAGGCAAGCCCAAATCAAACAGAACATGGACACACAAATGCATTCTAGTGGGAATGAACTACGTGACTCACAACAAACCAGAAGGGTGGATGCAGCTGGAGGTGACCCTTTACAATGGGTAGAAGCTTGAAAGAGAATGTCACAGCCAGAACTGCTGACAGCTGTTAGTATTCACCTGCATTAAACCTGCAGAGCTGCTTTAAAAACGTATTGTGTTTAATTGCAGCATCATCTTCTCCAATTTGTAGAACTGAAATGAGCTCAGTTTCTCTTAAGAGCATTTGATTACCATGGGTTCAAAAACACAAGCTTGAAACACTTCTCTGAGCTGCTCTGGGACTACAAGGTTAGGCAGAACATTCACTAATTAAAGGGAAAGGCCACTGAAAGAGAAGACTGGCACCAAATTTTCGAAGACATTTTAAGGCTATGTGATTTCTGATTCTGAACAAAATTCAGGGTGGGTCTTTAGGGAAATGAGTTTGCCTGGTCTAGTGGAAGGTGTCCCTGCCCAAGGCAGGGGGGTTGGAATTAATGATCTTTAAAGTCTTTTCCAACCCAAACTATTCTGTAAGATACACCATGCTTCTCCACACTTTGTTTAAAACCTGGTTATTACGTGAACATGCAATACTGGGTAAAAGTGGCATGCGATGTGCTCTAAAAATTTCAGAGCAACTCCAGCATCTGGCAGCCTCAAAAAGCTGTTCTGCTCTTTTCAATAGATATTCAGAAGATCTGGTCTACACAAACCAAGCAATCAAGAATGATCTGAGGCAGTCAGATTTTCTGGTTTTCAGAGCTGGGTAACATTCACATCAGCTGTTACGAAACAGAGTGCTTCATCCAAACTTCTATCCAAAGCAAAAACTAACACTTTAACCTAAGCTTCTAAATAAAGGACAAGAAGTAGCAAGATAAATGCTTACGATATCCTTCCCAGTACAGGTTTTATTATATGCATTTCATTTCAGATGGTATCACTCACTTTTAACCTCTTCTTCTGTTTGCTTCTCTGATTAATGCACTAAGCACTCTCCAGAGCTGATCCCATTTATCCACCTCTGCCTAAAAACTTGCTGTGATAAACTGGCCCAAGTTTCACAGCCCACGACAGTGACTGCTGCTAAGCCTCTAAATGGTGCCGCTGAATTCAGTGCAGTTCTGTTTGGGTTCAGATGTCTGGCCATCTAACCATATAAAAAATATACAGCGTAATGTATCAGCGGAGAAGAAAGAGAATCTTCAGGGCAGGGCGACAGAGCTCAGTTGTCTGAGTGATCTGCATTTTAAATTTACGACTTGTTGAAGTTTTAAATCCCAAGCCCTGATTTTACATTGGGATGGGTCTGCAATGTCCCTGAACTCTCAAATCAAGATACCTGATAATGTACTGAATGTGTAACACATTCAGTAACTGTTTCAGTTCTAAAGTTCAAGAGCAGTAGGTTCAAACTACTTCTCAGAAACCAAGCAATGATTTTACTGCAAAGGAGTGCAACTGTTACTGTAACCAATACATGGATATACTACACGTATAATGAACATAAAAATAAAAAATCAGTTACTGTATCATTAGAATTTCTTTCCTGCACACTATCTACACCTTTAGATCTATGTTTTATTTCCTACTGTTACCTATGCTGAGGTTGGAGTTGGAACCTGGAGATTTACCAAAAAGCTTACTGTTGAATTAGCCTGCAGTGGAGCAGTTTCTACACGCCTACGTTCTGAAGTGATTTTAATATTACCTAAAGCTTTAGGGAGAGTTTGGGACTAATTCAAACAGGATTAATTTTCCCAAATAATGCGATGCTGGAAAAGTGATCGACCCGGGAAGCGCTCTGCAAGCCTCGGCACTGAGCACAGGGGGGCGGCATTTAGTCACAATCCCTCCTTTCTGCCTGACCATCCCAGCCGAGGGAGTGAAAGGCAGAATTGCTACCTGCAAGTCTAGGTAAAGGAGGTAGCTACCAGAAGACAGAGGAAAAAAGTGCACAAACACAACTTCGTTAAGTCTGAGCATCATGGAGAAGAGCACGTTATTTCCACGAGTGCAATGTTACTGAGGAAAACAGACAAGAAAAGCAACGATACACAAGGCACCAGCTATCTCCCAGTCAGTTATAAACCTGCTTAATCTCAACGTAGGAAAAGGGAAATTGCTTTCAAATGAGAATCTGCACGTTTACATAAAGCAACTCTGTACAGTGTCAGCCACCGGCACCTGTGCGGAGGGCACGCACAGCGATTATTACCTGCTTTATAGTGAAGTCGTTAATAAGGTGATGATTGTGTTCGTTCAAGTTGCAGTGCAGGGTAACACAGTCACTGTGGAACAGCAGGTCCTGCAAAGTGCTCACCCGCTGCAGTCCCAGAGCACGCTCCATGCCATCTGAGAGGTATGGGTCATAAAAAATCACACTGAAGCCAAAGGCTTTGGCACGTAGTGCTACTGCTTGCCCAACACGCCCTGCAACAAGAAAAGATGGAATGAGAACAGATGTGAAGCAGCTGGTGTAAAGCACCCTCCTCCTTCCCACTGCGAATGCTTCCATCGAGTGATACCATTTTGTACAGCAACTGGAAGGGGATAACACAGAGGCGTCTCCCATCCCACTCGAAATCCTCGTTGAGATGAGTAACGTTACATCGGGACTGCTTCACGCAGCCTTGCTCCAAACAAAGCAGGTCTGTACCTTTGGCAACTGGGGATGTGAAGTGCCAGAGGATGCCACGTAATCTGCACTAATCTGTGTAATACAAGGGCCTGCCTGCTGGGCCTGTTTATGGTAAAACACTACTGCTTGCGAACACATCCTGCCAAGGACTTATTCTTACCCATGTCGGACCAGCTGGCTTTAATAAAAAGCTATAAAATTAATCCTCAAAAATGGATGCAATAAAAGATAATTTGTTTAATCTGAAGCTGAGTGATTCTCAGCACATAGGATCTCCTTTCTGCACTAGCATTTTCTTTCATTTTGAGTAACATCCTTTCAGCACTAAAATGCCTGTAAGGATCCTGTCATTTGAAGCTTTTAAAAATTCTGTACCCATTTCCTTGAATCATAAATAAATACAGTCCATCACAAGGCACCTAGTTAAGAAGAGTGCAGTACCATTCATCATTCACAATGCCCTTAGCTTTTCCCTGTTCATCTTTCCTTACTGTCGTATTATTTTAGAGAGCTCGTGTTCAAAATTGCTTTTTGGGCATGACTCCATGGGGATGTGTATCAGGAGGTGTGTATTTCCCTTTGAAACACTACCAGTAAAACACAGAAAAGGAGCAAGTATATTCATTGAGTAAGGATATTTTGAAGAACGAGGATAAAAACTCTTCAGTTTAGACGACTACACGCAGTAGGGTATTACAAATATTAGATAAAGACATTTCAAGAGTATCAGCCACTAGATAGACCATAATAACCACGTCTCATTTGAAAAAAAAGAAAGTCAACGAGTTTTCTTTTGTAACATCTGAGCTTGCTCTAAAAAAGAACCGAATTAACAGAGGGAAATCCTGTATCTTTCCAATTGTGCTTGAAGGGATTTCCCTCTGCTTTTCAGTTTCTCTTTCAATAAACTTAAGAAGCCACAGGAAGAAAGGGTTTTTGTTGATCATTTAACCTGAACTCAGTTGTTCTGCAGTGCTTAGGAACAGATGTGCTTGGAATATTAAACAGCGTGTCAATCTGATGGGGGCTGTCTGCTTTTCTTTGGGGACACCAACTTAAAAAGCTCTTCAAGATATTTTATTTCAGTACCTGCGTACATGTTATTTGTTTGTTTTTCAAGCTGTTTTTAAAAAACATTAGTAAGACTATTTTCAGCACAAACACTATTATTTTCAGATTTTGGCATGTTCACAGCTCAGGAAATCAGTCACACAACTGTAAACAATCTTTTTTTTTTTTTTTTTTTTTTTTTTTTAAGAAAAAAAGCTAGCAGATCGCTTTTACTCTAGCTCCATTCATTTTCACATGCGACGTTCTGTCATCTGTTCTTTTTCGCACTCTTTACAACATCAATACCTGAGGGGATTCACGGCAGAGAAATCTCTTACAACAGCTTCTCCATTTAAAACTACACTTTCCATTCATTGCAGCCTGGCCAATATACTAAAAACACTCTTAAATGTGCTCAGTTTCCTTTTGAATCACTCAGGAATCACATAGCGAGCATCGTCATATTACAAATACTTTATGAGATAAAATCCTCCATAAATGACAATTCATATTTAGCCACAGTCCTTACACAAACAGACAGCAGGACATTTGTAAACTGCCAATTCCTTTTAAACTGCAGCCAACTGCACACCTCTGAGTTTTTTTCCTGCTCTGAAAGCTGCCTATTACATACGACTCTTCTGGGCACAAGGGGTGGCTAAAAACCTTCCTGAGCACTGCAAGAAGAGAGCAGTTCAAAAAGTGTCCACCTTCAAGGCAACTTTACCTTAGGAGCATATATAACTGCTATGAATATTCATGAGACTTGGGTGCTTCCGAGGAGAGGTAAATTCAGAAATACAAAATATTAAATGAACTTCTTGGTCTGTGATACAGGAAGGATGCACAAAATGCACTCTCCATACAGTTGCAGGAATGCAAAAACGACCCAAGCCTATTTCAGACATAACGAGATTTATATAAGGCTCTTGCAAAGCCCATTCTTCACTCCAGTCAAACCAGCAGCGTGAAGAGAGACACACCAGAAACTCCTGGGTCTCCTGGTAGTCAGACTCAGCAACTTCCCCCCAGTGTCCTAGTTTGCAGGGCCTCTGATCCTGACCTCGACTCGAACCTGGTCCAAGCACAACAGTATAGGAGCTGCAGTCGTCAATGATCTCCACCCAGCCCCTGGGCAAAGAGCCTGCCTCTATTCTGGTATTACAGTTTTATTAAATGCCCTCAGTACCGTGGAAATGTTGATGAGGTGCCTGTAGACTTCCATGGAAATAAGAAGTGCTCACACTTAGCAGCTCTTTGCAACAGCTGTGGGGAATCTGGGCAATTTTTAATCCCTCCTGGAGATCTCTGATACATGGTTTGCTTTGTGGAGCGTGCCTTTTTGTTGGATCTCCTGGTGAGCACATCAGATGAGCTCGTAGGACTGCTAGGGGTGCCACATTTATTGCATGGCAATGCCACCCAGCTCAAAGCTCACTGTCTGACGTGCTGATCGGTGCCTTGGCCAGCGTCTAGTCAGGATGTGGAACCAGTGAGACAACACAGCAGGTGAGGAAAGACAAACTGAGTGATGAACGCTGATTATGATGCACTGTCAAATTGATCTGGAAGAATTTCACCTCTTCTGAGTGAGGAAATGCATTAGCTATTAGTCACCAGCATTTGTAACTGGGAAGGAAGAGGAAGGGAGTGTGATTTCACAGCCTTCGCTGCTGCAAAATCATCCTTACAGCAGAACCAGCTCCAGCTATCTACTCATCCAAGTACTTACATGCTGCTGCTCATAAATACTGTTTTAAAAAAATCTAAAAAACACACAACAAAAATACCTACAACCTATCTGCCTAGATAAAAGGTGAAGAGGTAGCATTTTTTTCAGCACAGGGCTTCCTATCCAAGCTTGCAAAGCTTGTGACGCATCGCTTGAAATATAGGGCACTGGGTAGTAATAAAGACTAAAAGTGACAAAGACAGCTGTTTGATGATGTGATATTATTATTTATGTTAGGCTCAGAGAATCACACACTTCAGAAGGACAGAAAGAAACACAGGCTCTGCCCTGAGGAACCCAGAGGCTAACCAAACAACGGAACAATGACGGATGGTATCCAACAAGCACATGAAGGGGGCATTATGTAGTTGAGTCTTTGCTTATCTCCAGTACAAGCAGAGGATGAGAGATGGGGTTAACTTTAAAGGAGGAGCACTGAGTAATGGGATTAAGCAGGATAGACCAAGTGTCAAAGCAGGAATATGCATGAGAGGAGGCAAAGAAAAGAGAGTGGGTGATGGAAAGAAAAAGGCAAGTGAGTCATGAAGCTTGGCTAGACCAGTGGATAAGGAAGTGAGTAGCTGGAGCTTTGGAGCGAATGACGTAGTCGTTCCCTAGCACAGAGATAGGCAAGAGCTGGGATGCTTATCTTTGGCTAAAAATAAAAATAAAAACTACAAAAAATGCCCAGGAACAGATGTGAAGGTCTGGACTGAGGTGCTGCAGCAGCAAAATGATGCAATTTACGCAACCCACTGCTGAAGAGACCACAAGTTTAAGACAAGAGCACAACATAGCTGGGGCTGAGATAAGGGATGATCTCAGAAGTGTGTAAACACAAAAGGACACTACACAAAGCTGGAGGAAAGAAGCAGGACTTAGGAACAAAAGATGAGAACAGTTTTGTATGTGCTACGTTCACTTCATAGCCTCTTAGTGGTTCAGCTGCTCTGATGCTGACAAATCCTAATAAGACAATTACAAATTGAGGCAAAACTACAGACGTGGGAAGAGGCCACTAGTAGAGAAACATAACCTAAGGGCAACAGTCTGTTGAACGTGGTTGTAAATACACATTTTAGATTAAAACTAGAGATAGCTACCCTCTTGTAGTGATCTGGAATAGGGAAGGGAGTATGTCAAAGTCTAAGCATCTCAAGTGCCCAAATGCTGAATCTAGCATAGCTGTGTTTCCAGGTCTTTTAAGACTGCTTCTAAGACTTCTTCATAAATACCCATCTATATTGGAGTTTGTTAGAACAGGAGCTCAGTCACAATGCTGGGCATATTCACATACATGTGCAAAACCAAGCAGTGGATATGTTCAAAACTTTAAAATACTCACTTTAAAAGCTGTGAATATTCCATTGTAGGAAAAGAAATAGGAACAATCAAAGACTGCAGAAAATTGCTGGTTAATAACTGCAACAGAAGTGTACCTTTAAAATCAGAATTTACCAGCCTTTTACTATGCCACGCACACAAAAGGCATCTTTAAAAAAAAAAAAACACCAACAAACAGAAACAAAACAAAAGCAATAAAAAACCCTTAGCACCTCATGCAGCATTACATACATACTGGCAATCTGATTATCCAAATTGTTTCTCTATACTTTCCAGTCATTCGCAACAAAAACAGCACACAGAAAACTCATTTAAGAAATTCAGTAATAAATGAAGGCTTTTTTCTCAGCTCAGCCTGGAATTAAAGCGTAACACAATAAACACAATGCCAACAGGACAGATGTCTCCAGCAAATTAGCACATAGCATGTAAGCGAAGACTTAAGGTTCAAAAACTTGATGCATATTTCCATTTTTAAAACACGGCAGGTGATTTGTCTATTATTTATGTACAGATGCTGTGACTGTGAGTGCAATAATCATGTTTAAATGAGGTGCATTAATACACGGGTATAGATTTGAGCAAGCAACTTCATGACTATCTCCTTGAAAGTCACATTTTAAAGGCTGTTCTTTAAGTGTGAAGACGCTTTCTATTGCCTTGTGCACTCGTTCAAACGAGTGGTACGTAACGCCAAGCATTTTCAGATTCCAAAAAGTAAGAGTTCATGGCTTGAAATATCTGACAGCAATGTGTAACTGGAACAGTCATTAAAGTATGATGCCCTGTTGTCAAAATCGTATTATTAATTCCTGCAGATGAATACCACAGCAATCACATCCACAGTCCATCAGATCTTTGATAAGACAAGCACATGACTGAATAATTTTTATATAGAAACTGACTTGCTTGTTTTTCTTCTCTGCGTCTGCAACAGACAGCAATTAATTCGTCTCAAGCAAGCTTGTCCATCTGTTAGATGCCGAAACACATTTAGGGACATTCAGAGAGGTAAGTAGGTGATTTTATTAGGTCTGGAAGCATTTCAAACTTTCTTGCATTTATTTTTCCTCTCATTTGAGCTGAAATACAGATTCAAATGCAGCCCAACCAAATGCAAGAAGTAACTGCTCTGCAGGCTGTTCCTGCAGCAAGCACTTTTCAGACATATTAAAAACAGCAAAAGGAAAACAGCACAAACAGAACCAGATATGACAACAAACGATGAATAGAACAAATACAGGTGACAATGGGTTGGTGTAGCAGGATCCTTGTTCTGGAAAAGGGAAGCGATGGAGTCTTACAAGCAGCGTGCCTGACACCAGCAAAAAGATGTCCAGAAGCTCAAAGAACTGAGGAATATCAACAGCAAAAATTGCAAAAATAGTTGTCTGAGGGAAATGATGATGCCTACAGGGAAAACATTTGAGATATATAAACACCAGGAACGAAGTGGTATTATACAGAATGCTTGGCATGGAAAGGCGTGAACTAGTGTTGTTTTAACAGCTCAAATCCTCGTAATTTTTTTAAAGCAATAGGAGGCGAGGAGCATTAAACCACCTCACCAGCCAACATACCTAATCCAATAATGCCCAAGGTCTCCCCTCTGATCCTGGCAGCTCCGGAAGCCACTTCCCGAATCTGTTCGACGCTTTGTACTCTCGTGCCTTCTCGCAGAGCCTGGTGAAGCCAGGTGGTTCGTCTGTACAGGTTCAGAATGTGGCACATGGTAGAATCCGCCGTCTCTTCTACTGAGGCAGCTGGCACATTACACACTGCAATCCCTGCAAAGAATGGGTGGAAAGGATACCAGGTTGCCAAGTAATTCTCACTTCTTCCTATTTGATGGCCGTTCAGGAGCATGATGTTTACATTTACAGGTATTTCTATACCAAGTTTCTGACTGCAATCCCTGACATAATACATGACAAACCAGTTCATAAAGACTTGCAAAGGTTTTGTTCTGATTTTTTTTTTAAAAACTTTTGTTTTTCCAAACTAAGGCAAACAGACTACTGAAACCACAGAAGTATACGAGATGTCAGGCAGCTTAGTAACCAAGCTGATGTCTTAGTAAGCATTTTACATGCACACTGGGCTACGTGCTTTGAATAGCAGAAGGAAATATGCCTTTCTCTCAGCACAAAGCCAGTAAGGTTGAAGATCATTGTTTACATTTCATTGTATGAGTTACTTTCCACTACCGAGCATATACCCTCCCAAAAGCTACCTATACATTATAAAAAAGATTGATTTAAAATGAAAGCAACTCTTACAAACCTTCACAGGATAACTATTATTTCCAGTACATATATGGGTAGTAACAACACAGGGAGGAACGATCTGTTTCTTGTTGCACATGGGTTTGTGCAGTTGCTACAAACAGAATCCAAGTCCTTCCCTGGTCCTTCAAATTAAAGAGAGAACCCTCTAAATATCAATACAGAAATACAAAATCTGCTTCTGCATGGTATGGAAAGGTAATGCAAAAATACAGCTATTAGGATACGGACTCAACGGCTGAAAAAGGTGCAAGACCAAGGAGCAAAAAGACCATTACAGATTTCCACAGACAGCTGTGGGAGGTGGACTGATCCAAGACTCACGAAATTCCATTTTTTACTTCAAAAAACAGCTCAGGCAGCCAGCAAATGTAATTGCGTGTCAGTCACCCCATTCTGTTTCTCTCGGATAAGCGTGTACTTCCAGAACACATACTGCAGTGAAGCAAAATGTTTCCTTGAAAAAAGTTTGTGTCCTTTCTATTTACTACATTCTCCCTGTAATCATCAGCTCCTGCTAATTTTTCACTCCCAATCCTGCTGACTGAGATCACAAACAGTGTACAGTGTAATTTCACGGTGGAGAAAAAAAGTGTTTGGAATACTAAAAAACCACCCTAATACTGTTTTCACTGTCTAGTTGTTTGGGTTTTACATAAATAAGTATTCAGTGGGTCCTCAGCTAACACCAGTATGTCTTGTGAAGCAAGGAAGAAAACCCAACATGCTCTTCCATGAGAGTAATAACAATAATCTGACAAATAATAAGCTTATACCGAATTTATCTGTGTTTTCCATTCAAATGCCTTCCTTCTTTCTACAGCCAACAGAAGGAAGCTGCAGAACTATTTTTCTTGTCTCTGCTGAGTCACTGCTCTGTAGACTTACACGAAGATAAAACAGCATCATTTGCTGGATTATTAATCTTGGCAGTCTGCTAACATCAATGGCAGTGTGAAACTCACAGTATTTTAAAAATGAAAAAAAGAGCACGAATGGGACAAAAAGTACTAGACTGAAACATAAAATCCCTTCAAGTGCATCACATTAAACAGCTGCATTTGTTTATTCAGAAGGTCTTTTTCATGGAGCAAAAACGCGAGTTTTAGATGGCAAAACGAATAAAATAAGCATGTATCCTAATGGCTGGCATCAACAAAAAATGGTTTAAAAGGACTTTAAGTTATATTACATATGTGGGAAGCTAAGGAATTCAACTCGCCTTACACCTTCCTTCCTATAAAAGGTTTTCCCTTTTAGGGAAAAGGGTGAGGCAATTTCTTTCATAAGTTGTAGAAATTTCTTATTCTCTATTTTCCACCACCTTTAAAACCAGCTGATTTCAAAAAGGCAAGAGCATCGTAAACCACAACAAGCAGCTGTACAGAGGCAATGATATGAAGAGAAGAGACATTTCACATAGGAAAAGATAACGTACTCTTCTCATTTCTCCTATCTAACTGCTTCAGTGCTCCTTTCCCACTCCCCACCGCTTTCAGTAATCTTGTGCACAAGTTCAATGCTGAAAAACTCAGGAGTTCACTGGTTGTTACCCTTCACTTGCATTCAGTTACAATTACAGCTCATACGTATTTTCTACTCAACAATTAATAAACTGAAGAAAAAAAAGACCAGATCATCTAGCTTTTATTCAAGAAACATCTGTTTGCATCCATTTCAAGAAGAGTAAAAGCACTAACATGAAAATAATACTTAATGGGAAAAACTGGTAACAACTTCACCAGCAAGCTCCCTGAAAATTACTCCAAAAGTTACTATGGAATTTCAGGAAAATGTCGTACTTTAGGGTCTAACTCTGTACTATATTTCAAGACTGAATCAAAGCCTTTTTCAAAGAGCAATTAACTCTCAGGTTACCTCCTTGAGATGCACATTCAAGGAATGGAAAGAGATTTGTCCCAGTAGCAATGCATTAGTATCTAATTCCAACCATTTGGCCCTAACTACTAGGAGAGACTTCACATTGTAAGCCTTCCAGCATTTACTGGCTTTTGAAAGAGTGGACAATTGTATTTTGTAAATACTGAAATGCACAAATGGGATGGGTCCTAACTGTGTAACTCAGTCTAATCACAATGTGATTCAATGAAGGATTGATTAGGCATGTGGCGTTTACCATGCCACGGGAATGAGAATGTCCCTAGTCTGCTATACTGTGGCTTCAATCACAGAATCATTAAGGTTGGAAAAGACCTCCAAGATCATCTGGTCCAACCATCCCCCTACCACCAATGTCACCACCAAACCATGTCCCCAGGCACCAGGCCCAACCTTTCCTTGAACACCCTCAGGGACGGTGACGCCACCACCTCCCTGGGCAACCCGTCCCAACGCCTGACTGCTCCTTCTGATAGAAATGTCTCCTAATTTCCAACCTGAACCTCTCCTGGCACAACTTGAGGCCATTCCCTCAGTCCTATCACTGGTTATCTGTGAGAAGAGGCCGACCCCCAGCTCCTCACAGCTTCCTTTCAGGTAAACGTGGAGAGCAATGAGGTCTCCCCTGAGCCTCACATTTGAGTTGTAAGCTCAGGTTACCATCCAGCACAAATAGCCAACAAACCTGCAAAGATTTTCCTCTCATCAGGGATTCTCTACAGAAATCACCCTCATGATGGCTCTGGGGTTTTGGGAGCTATACCTAGGTTTTGGGGCTTTGGATCCAGGATTTTACTCCAAGGCAGTCCCTAGATGCATAACATGGTTTCTGGGGCTCACAACTCAGGCACCAAACTTTGGCACTACTTGAGTAAGTAGGAACGCAACCTTGTGCATGCCTTCAGATCTACCTGTTCTTTATAGAAACTCAAGAAAATGTTCTTAGCCTCTGCCTGTTGTGCAAACTACACAGTCACTGGGGATTATTATACTTTCTTTTACTGATAAGCAGAGCCACATTACACCTCCTCACTCTATCAGTGGGGCTATTAGTAGGACTAAGCACTGTCACACTTATTTAAGTGTTTCCAAGATCTTCATAATGGAAAACACATTTATTATTGAAACATGTTAGATTAGGTATTAGGAAGAAAGTCTTTACTCTGAGGGTGATGAGGCACTTAACAGAGAAGCTGTGGATGCCCCATCCCTGGAGGTGCTCAAGGCCAGCCTGGATGGGGCCTTGGGCAGCCTGGGCAGGTGGGAGGTGTCCCTTCCCATGGCGGGGGGCTGGAATTAGATGCTCTTAAATATTCCTTTCAACCCAAACCATTCTGTGATTCTATAATACTTGATAATTTCAACCTAATTAGAAAAGGAACAAAAAAAATGTATACATTGATATCCAGTGGTACAGTTTTACCTGTAGATTATAGATAATAGATGGGTTATCCTGAAGTAAGCAAAGTATAAATCAGACTTTTTTTTTTTTTTAAGCAGTGAAACACTAAGCAATATCTCTTCATAGTTCCAGTATCTAAATTTATTCTGAAGCTGTAACAACTGATTCTCCTATAAAATCGATATTTCTACTTTATGGAGTGCTTTAGTACTAAATCTCATGCATCATAAATAAGTCCCAGACAGTTGATAATGATCTCATTTTTTATTCAAACAGTAGTAGTTTTCCATGCTGATGGAATTATATTTTGTGATTGGATTACAGTAGGCAGTAGTTAAAATACACAACTGGGGTAAAAAAAGAAAGAAAGAAAAATTATGGCCTTACTCCTTGGATTTATCTTGAACAGGCAGATTGTCATCCTGTCACAAAGCTATTAATATTATCACTCAATTAACTAATGCTAATATCTCCATAATGATTTTTAAACACTTTGATGAGAAAATTATACAGCTTACATACTATGTTAGTATAAATTATACAGAAAACATTAATGCAAAGACTTAGATGCTATCGAATTTCTGGAGGCAAGTATAAGATGTAAAACAATGTCTTTAATAGTCATACCTAAATCTCCAGCAGATTTGATGTCAATATTATCAAAACCGCTGCCAATTCGGACAATTATTCGAAGTGCTTTAAATTTCTCCAGGTCTTCTCGTGTTAAAGTGATAGTGTGATACATCAGTGCACCCACTGCTTCATTTAGTACCTACAAGTAAAATGGAAGAAAAAAAATACTTATTTTTTTTTTCTTTCATAGGATCTCAGCCTAATCAAGTATACAAATTTTCAGGGATAAAGGACTGTAAAAGCATTGAATCCAGGTCTTTTGTTTTAAAGGTTATTTGCCCAAGTATGTTCCAGCCTCTTGTTAGACTTTTTTCCCCATCTGTTATGTCTGTCCCAGCATGATGAGACCAGTTTTAGGAAGAGCTAAGTGATCTGTATGTGTTCTTATTAAGAAGGGAAGATCTCATTTCACAGGAGATACTTTGCAATATTGGACCCTAAACACAAGAATTACCAGACTGCATCTGTACATGCATCCTGAAAACACATGGGAGCAAGCACTCGATTTAAACAGCAAGCATTTTTATGCTTCAGCAGCTGACATTCAGTTTTGAATGGAGTAACAGAGCAATCTCTTCCCCACACACACAGTGGTACAGGCATTCACTGCACTATTAAACCACTTGATACCTGAATAGAAAACATTCAGTAATCATTACAAAACCCTTGGACAACAGAGACTGAAATTTGTCAATTTATACAAAAAGTGTCTGTCCCGCAGTTTACTGATGCTGCAACACTCTGAGCTCTCATACATGGAAAACTGAAGTCACAGAAATTGGTATAAATAAGATTATCCACAAAAACTAACACCTCTACGAAGTAAGAAATTGTACCAAGACAAAAACATTGCAAAGGAAAAAACTTGTGAGCAAAAATAAACTGACAGGATCATAAAGGTTTGAATATCTTTCAAATAATGTGAAAGCACATCCAACCTATTCAAGAAAGATTAAAATGAGGGGGTGTGAAGGGGAAGAAAGGTTAGCACACAAGGCCCAGGAGTTTTCAAATTCCGCTAACAAACAAGCCAGGAAACTGCATGTCACATAGCTGATATGAGTTTATTGCTCAGAAAGCAGAACACATTTTCCTCTGTATGCAAACTGGACTGTTTCACTTCTTCAAAACACTTCTTGGTTTCCACCTTCAGTGTGTTACCTAATAACCTAAAAGTTCTACAAGATATAGAACACGCTCAAATCATTTCAACTTCTAAGCTACTGCAATGACTTCATGTCGTTCCTATCGAGGACCTTATGTGAACATTTTGTGGAGGCTCTACATTTCTTATTCGATACACTTTTGGGCTTGGTGCATGCACAGATTCTATCAGCTGGGCTACTTATGAGCATTTTCTAGTGTAAGGAAAAAAATGTACCATTAATCAACATAAATCATTTCAAAAAACCCTACTATGGCAAAACATGATCTCACAAAAAGCATTACAACTCCCTGCTGGAAACCCAAGATCCGAAGCAACAATTTAAAAAAATTAAGATACACAAAATGTTTTAGAAGCAAATGTAAACAAAATCCATGAAAATGAAAGAAAACTGCTCCTTATGAATATCTCATAAACTAATCTATGGTATTTCAACAGGTGCCCCCAGATTGGTAACCCCAGCTCTAAGTCAGATAAAGACCAGGATTCCTTTGAGCAGAATTTGGATTTACTTGTAAGACAAAGAACTACAAGAAAATTAGAAATGACACAGCCCTGAAGTATGTGGCTACAACATAATTCAAAGAACAGCTGTAGGCTCTGATGCTACAAACAATTATATGCACACAAAACTCCTTGATTTTAATGGTACAAACAAGTCCTTTGGAGATTACAGCTAGCAGCCACTAATCAGCAAGACTGCACTCATCAGAAGGCATTTACTTGAGCTGCTACAGACAGGTTAAGAACACAGTTTATTGGGTTTGCTTCCACAGTGGCATTGTTGCTGGTGGGGACTTCCCACGGCACCAAGCCCATGTGCCTGGTGAGGTCTGCACCTGAAATAGTCCTTGTAACTTGACTAAATGCCCACCTAAAATGCCTCTAGGTAGGTTTTTTTTTGTGTGTGGTTTTTTTTTTTTTTTTTGGTCCCATTAATCCCTACAAGAAGATTGTTCTAAAATCCCCCTGTTCCAACAACACAGAGTTTTCTTCTTGTTTCCAGCCCCAATTTATTCACAGCCCAGCTTGCATCCATTTGTTCTGGTGCCAGCGCTGGCCATTTGCTCCAACCGTACTTTGTCTCCTTGGTGTTTACAGTCCAAATTTTATTTATAGGCAACGATGATATCCCCTGTCACAATCTGGCTGCACTTCGCAAGCCTAGTCCTTCCAGGCTTTTCTAGGACGACATCTCTCTACCCCTTGGCTGGTCTAACACTTCTTCGCTGTGCTCATACAAGCCTAAACTCAACTCCCCTGGGGTGACCAGAGCTGCAGGCACCGTGCTATTTGAGGTCTCTCTCCATACTCTGTTACACCAACACCAGTACTGTCAGCAACCCGATGGTTACTGGAGAGCTCTCCTAATGAAGTCTCGCCTGACCCGTGTTTCCGCATGGCCAGCGGCGCGCTGACAGCCGATCCCTTGACTAAAGCACACAGCTGAATCCTTCCCTTCCTAATGCATGTCTTATTTCACACTCCCAAGCTTCTAGCAGGGCTTCCTTCTCCAAGTCACAACCCCAAGTTTTATCCTGTTGCCTTCAGGTACCTCTCGCTCCCTGTGATACCCTCCTGGCCCTCTCCAGTTAGCCACGTTCCCCATTCTGCCTCATCACCACATCCTCTCCTTCCCAGGCTGTAACCCAGGAGAAAACACTCCTTGCTCGTATGAAACCTGAAGTAGTTTACAGCTTCTGACAGCCCACCGAAAGTCTTCTGTGGCAGGCAGACCCTTCCTTCCCTGCTGCCCACCCCAAAAAGACCAACGGGGCCTGTGTTTGTGTGCACAGAGCTGCTGCTACTCTGCGAGCTGCGTGAAGTAGGGGCTAAAAGACAGCTGAATTGGCTGAGGCCTTTGTGCTTTAAAATCAGTGTTTCAGCTGGGAATTTCACTTCATAATCTGACATTTTATTAACTCAGCCAGACAAGACTGTAATTTGGTCTCTAAGATCTCCGACCTGGTCTCATTACACTCCATTGTGGGGCCCGTTCAGGTTATGGCTTGGCACTGGACGGAGACTGAAAAATATTTGGAAGTTTGGGAATGTGTTCAGTGAAAGGAAGAATATTTTTCAGCTATGGCTTAATGCTGACACTAGCCATTTCCACACTCGTTTACCCACCAGATGAGATATGTAACAAACAGATGCACATGACAGATCTTTCAGGATTTTCTTCATAGTGTTTGAACTTCTAGGATTATGGACCAGTTAGCAAGGAAATGCACTGCCAAAATGTAGTCTCTTGGTATTGTGCATTATCTTGCATCAATTTATTATGCTACTGCTTTTTGCAGCTGGTCATGTGATAAAAGTACAATAAAAAGGCAAAAAATAGAAAATCTGAAGTTGACTTAAAAAACAGAAAATCTGAAGATGACTTAATAACGCCACTCACAGATTTTAAAAAAGTAGAGTTTCTGTACTTTGCTATTATTTTTATAAAATATATACTCAGCCATTACACAGTAAATGCACATAAGGAAGTCTAAAAAGCTTGCCAGAGTGGAAACAAAACTTGAACTAAATCTGAGTGTAACACAGGAAACTGAAATCCAACATAAATGTAAGCAGTTCTGGCAATCTTTAGGAAACAACTGCACATAGGAGTCATTTAGTGATCACTTATAAAAGTACACCCAGGGGCAAATGCATAAGAGGTGCTGGGATTTTGTGTGCTTTTTCATAGTTCCCCATAATAAACTCAATCGATGCAACATTCACCAAATTCTAGTACAATGATTTTATTACTAAAATATCAACTCCTGTCAATCTGAGCGAGATACAGATTTAACAAGCAAGCAATTTCAGGTATGTGGCAGTCAGATAACACTCTTTCAAGATCCCCTGGATGGAAAGGAAACAGGCAAAATTTGATAGAGAAGATAGAGAACAAGCAGAGGGAGCTGCGTACCTTCAGCAGCCACTCCTGCTTTCATCTGACTACAGCTGTGCTTTTCGGGAAGAAAGGATCTGAGATAAAAGTTGAAACACAGGACATGAGTTGGCTTCCTTCTGTTACCAAATGATTAGGTAGCCCATCTGCATAATTTTTATGCCTTCAGTTACTGACTTACTTCCAGGTGAAGCTACAGCTTGTTGAAAGCCTTTTTCATACCCTCTTCAACGAGCTGACATCGTTTCCAATCAGAACTGTTCAGACAGGTCTTTCTGCTGTTCTTCAACCTCAAAATGACTACTTTGCTTTCACAGCGTGCCAGGTCTCCAAGGCTCTTAGAGAACTGATGACACTGTAGCAGGAGACATTTCTATTTCAAAGAGCTTAACAGATCTTGAGCAGCGAATATTGAATGTTGAAATCCTTTTAAAACATTTTCCTATTTGTTTTTTCTTATTTCACCACCATGTTCTTTTAGCCATCCTGCCAAATGCCACACCGTCACCGTTACAGCATACATGCCTCATGATTTGGAGAAGAACTTAGGATCCTGAGTATGTTACAAAAGCATAAATATAGCATGTTAACAATGGAACAGAAGGTTTTTTCTTCTTCAGTCATCTAAACATACCCTGCTAGTTTTCACTTTGAAAGACTGATCTCAAAGGCTCGCAGATCAATCCAGAGCACGAAAACGTAACACAGTACATAAAATACTAAGCTACTTCAACACAGAGGCAGAATACATTTATAAAATACACACAAAATGACAATATAGACTTATTTTTTTTTTAAACCAGCCTCTTGGAAGTCATCACTAGAAAGTGATCTATTTCATCTGGCTCTAGAAACACACGGTACTGCATTTCTTGGGCTTGGATTTTGCTGTGTCATCGCCAGTTAAATGTTCTAGTGTCACCAACAGACCTGAGGTATTTTGCACATCCACGTAGACTTTACTTAATTTGAGTAGAACTTGTATTATCTGACTTGCAAAAAAGCAGCAATATGTCAAATTTGTGATCGATACTTGGTAACACAGAGGAAGGCTGCACCAGGCTTGCAGCTG